GTCCAGGGAAACAGTCAACTGAGGAACTGGCTCATTGGGTGGCTGGTGTGAGTCTGTGCATTTAAAGTGTTTCTTCTCTGAAGCTGCTCTGCACTGCTGTATGTCATGTTAGATGCTCAGAAAATGTGGGAAATGATTACTAAGCTACTTTAGTGCTTTGTTAATGCTCGAGACATGAACAAGTACAGATCCTGCAGGGTACAGCTATGAGTTAGGTGCTAGGTGAGTATGTTATGTGAATGTGCTGTTCCCTGTTTGTCCATAGTAAGTATACAAACAAGCACAGGGTCACAGTTATATTCAATCTCCACATAAACATACAACAAAAACGGCCATATGGCCTAACTCCGAACACACCACAGATAACTTAAGCCTTTGCAGGCACAAAAATGTTTTGATTAACAGGACAGGTATACAATATATCCTCTGTCCTTGGGGGATCTTGCTGCCAAGTTCAGGTATGATGACTTAACTTCAGGATTGATCAACCTTTTCTTAGCCACTGCTTATATACGAGAAAGACCAAATCTTGTTTGTTTTGATTTACAGGACATGTATACAATATATCCTCTGTCCTTGGGGAATCTTGCTGCCAAGTTGAGGTACGATGACTGAACTTCAGGATTGATCAACCTTTTCTTAGCCACTGCTTATAAACGAGAAAGACCAAATGCTTGTTTGTAAACTGCGTTGAAAATTTAATGATCCACCTTCAATTCTGACATGAAGGCACAAATGAAATAGTTCCCTCTCCTTTTGGAATACACAAAGCAAAAAATTTAATAAATGTTAGTGGATGGACAAGAGCAATTAGCATAGCTTTCCCTCAAGTTAACTTCTGGCACTGTTGATGATGAATTACACTGACGCTTATTCGCTTCATATTTTGTAACAAACGCGCTAAAACTGCAATATCACAGCACTATATGCTTCTTGACAAAATGCAATAATACTGAAAATTTAGCCCTGATGGCATTCATTCTTGGTGGAAACGTAATTACAAAATATTTTGTAGTAACTATTAAATTCCGGCCGAAAACAGTGCACGGTTTAAAAAAGAATCATTCCAATGACGGTCCATTCTTGCGGTCCTGAAATCGCCACTATTTCCGGCCTCTCCAACGCAACTCGTTGTCCAGACGTAAAATATGCTGGATTACATGCTCCATTATATTTTCCCAAGACAAAATAGGGAAATATAGCATAGGTCCGTAACACAACGAACACAACCTTCTTCTCATTCTTCTCAGCTTCTCATTCTAATTCTAGATATCCTGTGGGTTATCAAAATAATTCAAATTAAAAAATTGTGTTGTGTGCGTTCAAACTAAGCTCATCCCGAGTGTAATTCAAGAATGTCTTAGTTCAAGTAATTAAACTTGAAAGTGATATAGCTCAAGCAATGAAGAAGCTTGGATGGAACTAGTGTTGAATCAAAGTTACCTATCATTTTTAATGCTAAGTGCTGAACGTTACCAATAATTCGAGACATCCGTTGTAAGATGTATGACGCAGATCAACTTTGATCAAGTGAAGAAAATAGATTTCAGATGAAATAATGTCAATGTTCAAGGCTGAGCGACTGGCAGATTTCGGAGTGAGCATGAGTGGCCTTGAGACATTCTGTTTCTGTAGGTACTCAAAATAAATAAATTATCATGTTGTGTGCTTTGAGGTTAAGTGTTATCAGTGGTGCTTCATGGTTGTGCTTTGTTGTTGGTGTATAGGCATGTTTTGAGCACATTGCAGCATGATATTGGTGGTGTGTAAAGCAACTGATCTCCGCAGACTTTGCACTTACTTGCAAAGCCTGCGGACTGACTTTGCAGACTTTGGCTTACAATGAGCAATGCATTGCTGACTGATATCATTTATTCTGTGTTTGTAGCACAAAGTACAGAAGTGGCACATACATTGTTACTTTGAAAACCTGATGTGAATTTTGATGTAGAAAATTGGTGGCTGACGTTGAGTCCTGACGTATTGTGAGTAGTGTACATCTGGTGCATTGAGCGCAGACTTGAGACCAGTGACGTTTGTATCAGTAGACTGTGTTTGAGTCTACTTATATGGGTAGTCATAAAGCAGGCGTCACACTTCTTTTTGCAACCAAGGAGATGCGCTATACCCAGAGATGCTTTCTCACCAAACCTTACCAAACCAAACCTAACCTACAGCGCCTCTCTTCGTTCGTTCATGGTTGCAAAAAAACAAGTGTGACGCCTGCTATACTACTACCCTTATATGGCCTTGGTTTGAGTGTGGTGACTGAGTAAGCTGGTGTGTATAGCCATGCAATAAGTGTTTTGAAATATATTTTTGGGACAGTATTGAAATGGTGTGTTTTGGCCATCTGGCATGGATGATGGAAAGTCACTAACTCAACTTCAGGAACGCTTCTTCATTATGCTCATCTGAAGCACAATGATCTATTTTCTCTTCGCAAGGATTGATTCCTAATTCACTGTCAATTATAACCTGGGCCAGAAGGTTTCGCAGAGCCACAGGGTTCATACAGATTCATCCACAGTGCTCAGCAGTGTATGTTTTTAGATTTCAACACTGTATTTTTTTCTGTATGTACATATGCATCATGCAAGGGTACAACAGATGCGGTATTTGGTAAGCAGTTGGCAGCAAGGTGGTGTTTGTACTTATTGGCAGAACTAGTTGAGCAGGACTAAAACTATCCTAGTTTCTCTCCAGTTTACTCAGATCCGTCTCAACACATTGAACATATTGAAAGCGTTCATCCATGAAATGTCTGCATGTATACTCATTTCCGAGAAGGCACGCTCGTCGCTCATCCATTGCCGAGCAGGCACGTGCGTGCCCATCGCCGGCGCGCATTAGCGCGCGTCCATGGCTGGGGCGCACGCGCGCGGCCATGGCCGGCATGCACGCGCGCGCGCCCATCGTCGGCACGCAAGCGCGCGCCGCGTCCTTACCCGGCGAGCACGCCGCGTCCGTACCCGGCGCGCACCCGCGCGCGTCCACAGCCGGGGCGCACCCAAGCGAGTTCGTACCCGGCACGTACCGGCGCGCACCCGCGCGCGTCCGTACCCGGCCCGCACCCGCGCGCGTCCACTGCCGACAGTGACAGACCCTGACAGACGGGCGTGCTGCCGTCGGCGGTCCTGACAGATGAGCGGCGGGCCCGGCTCCCGCAGCTCCGGCAGCGGGCGGCAGCCATGGTCGGCATACACGCGCGCGCGCGTCCATAGCCGGCGCGCACCCGTACCTGGCGCGCACCCGCGCGCGTCCGTACCCGGCCCGCACCCGCGCGCGTCCACTGCCGGCACTGACAGACCCTGACAGACGGGCGTGCTGCCGTCGGCGGTCCTGACAGATGAGCGGCGGGCCCGGCTCCCGCAGCTCCGGCAGCGGGCGGCAGCTCCGGTGACTGTTCCGGCAGCTCCGGCAGCGAGCGGCGTCTCCGGCAGCGCTCAGCAGCGGCGCCAAGCAGCAGCAGCGGCTGAGCCAACAGGCGGCCGCGGAGGCACGCCCCCCCCTTTGCACATTGTTCGTCCATGGAGATGTCTGCAAGCACGCCCATTGTTGAGAAGGCACGTGCATCCATGGCTGAGCACTGAGCAGGCACGTGCGACCCCTTTGCACATTGTTCATCCATACATATCAATATAATTTACCTTATGATTAGTGTGAGTCTTACAAAATCTTAAACTCAGAAATACCACAAGGCAGGCTGCCTGGGTGAGTTGCTAATATGAACATAATGAACATTATACATTAGTGCAGTACCTATAAGCATCTATGCTGTGTGAAGGACTTGGCCCTCACGTTCATTCGTTTGGTGATTGCACATGGTGGCATGTGTACCATTATTGTTCTCCCTAACCCTTCTTACAACTTTGACTAGCAAGTAGAAGCTGGCAAAATGCAAGGAGCTTACAAAGCATGCCTATATGTAGATAACTGAGGATGATTCTCTCAATTGAAGCATGATCCGCACTCAGCAGCTTCTTCTGTTCTGTTCCACAAACTAAAACTGAAATGCCTCAATTTTCCTCAAAATATATTCATTTATCACTCATAAACAACAAAAATATACATTAAGTAGGTACCAGGGCAATAAAAAACATACAAGTTACATATTTTTTCATGTATCGTCCTTTCACAGCAGCAATATGTAGAAACGCACCAAGACGTTCACGGAGAGCCCACCCATAACAAACTATAGTTGAAGCCGGGGCTCTGCTGCAGCAGCAGGGGAGACGTACAGGACACAGAGGTCATGTCACAACATCATGTTGTACAACCTGTTGTTCGAAAAAACAGATCAACATAGATCTTGAAAAACTGTAGGTAGCGCTTCAGTCACTTAGGTAAGCTTTCTCGCAAGACGTTACATTAGATTGACCACTCTTGACAAAATAATCAGATTGAAACTTAGCTCTTGTGCCTGATGCACTTACATTTCAATTTATTGAAATAAAACACTCAAATTTACCCTTGAAAATTGTTGACATTTAAATGATATTAATCAAGATTTGATGATCAGCAAACAAGCTCAAGCTATTCAAATCACACCCAAATCAAAATAATAACTTTGGCAATGTTGATAACTCTTGCTGTCTTATTGAAAAGCAAATCTTCAATTTGTTCATATCCAAATTCAATGCCAAGCACTGAAATCTTGTTGCAAGGCCCTAAAAACAACAGACAAAAACAAAACAGACAAGGCCCGTCTCTTCGCAGACGATGCTAAAGTCTACAGGAGGATAAGGAGCCCCAATGACAGGATCGACCTCCAAGAGGATATCCACCGACTGCAACTATGGACCAAGAAGTGGCTTCTGAGCTTTAACGAGGATAAGTGCAAAGTAATGCATTTTGGGTCCAATAACCCAGGATACACATACATGATGGGAGGTGTATGTCTTGATACATCTGCAAAAGAAAAAGATCTGGGAATCGTCATTACATCGGACCTCAAGGTCTCAGAGCAAGTGACCAGAGCAGCAGCAGCAGCGAACTCCATGTTAGGAAGAGTGAGGAAAACATTCACCTACATGGACAAGGGAATGTTCCTGCCTATTTACAAAACCCTGGTGCGCCCCCACATGGAGTACGCCATACAAGCCTGGTCCCCGTTCCTCCAAAAGGATATCATGAAGCTGGAGAGGGTTCAGAGGAGGGCTACGAAGCTCGTCCCTGAACTCGCCGACCTTCCGTACCCGGATCGTTTGAAGGAACTCCAGCTGACAACACTGGAAGAGCGAAGGATCAGGGGAGATATGATTGAGGTATACAAACTGATGCACGGGCTCGACAAGGTGAATGCTGGAGAGGAGTTCCTGAGAATGGAGACTGGTGCGAACATGCAGAGGACGCGGGGACATGCACTCAAACTACAGAAGCCAAGACACCGGCTACACAGGCGGAACCAATTCTTCACTTCGAGAGTGGTGGACCACTGGAATCAACTACCATCTGAAGTTGTACTGAGCAAGAACACCAATACCTTCAAAAACAGATATGATAAACATGTCCGTACACTGAGAAGAGGCAGCATCCCATGAGCAACCCGCTCCCTTTGCCTCTTTCCTTTCTACTTTGGTAAGCATCTACTTTGGTAAGCATGTGGAAATCGACAGTGCGGTGCGGCGGCCTTGGCGAAATTTCCCAAGGCTGCTCTTTGTTTACATTTTAGTGATGGGCCAACTTGGCCGCCCAAGTACTTGTTTTGCGTGAGTAAGTACAATTTTGTCAATTTTGAAACGGCTATATCTCGCAAATTTTGGTACCAATTTACATTTTATGCATATATTTAGAATCGGCAGAGTCTGGGGAGTTCATTGATTGGAAATTTATGCCGATTCCTTTCAATTTTTAAACCCTGATAATCCCTTCAAGACGTTTCCGGAAAGGAGAGACATAAGCGTCAAGATCTAGAAGTTGCTATTTGGTTATTGCCTTTCTTTAATTTAATTGTCTTTGAGAGAGGACGATTAACTGGAAGGTGGTGAATATTCCACCAACTCAGCTGAACTGGTTCTCGCTGTTGAGTTCATTCAAGGCCATTTCATTTGTACTTGCCTATCATTGGGAATCTGTCCTGTTGGCAATAAACTGAATAAATACAAAATACTTATAGTTGCATTCGGAGGTCGGTAAGTAAGCATATGGATTGGACGTGATGGAGGGGCCAAGGGCCTTAAAACGGACAAGAGTGGATGAAATGAGTTTCTGGGGAGATGCAGATGAAGGAACCCAGGGGGTTTATCTGCAGCTCAAACTTACATCTGGGAAAAGTGTGAAGGAAAGAGGGTGGCCATGGGTTCACTTCAAACCTGCGTCCGAGGCATTCTTGGCGGACAGGAAAAAGTGGCCAAAGCTAACTTCATGGCAGACGGGTCTTTGCTAGTCAAGACCAAAAACGAGGCTCAGACAGACAAACTCTTAAAGGCCAACTTTTTGGTGGTGAGGAGTGTGTCGTACAGAGGGACGCGAGACTGAATCAGAGCAAGGGCATCATACATGCACCTGACCTGATTGACTTGTCAGAGTTGGAGATCTGCGGTTGGTTGGAGGAGTTTGGTGTGGTTGGCGTAAAATGATTCACGAGGAAGGTAGGGGAGGAAGTTCAGCGCACGCCCACTCTTCTTCTTACCTTCAACACCCCAACATGTCCCTCACAGCTCCAATTTGACTATGTCAGGTACCCAGTCAAGAAGTACATACCAAACCCACTTCTTTGCCACAACTGTGGGAAATACGGACATGCACAGGAAAGGTGTAAGGCTGAGAGTATATGTCTGAACTGTGCCTCTAAGAACATGAAGGGACTTGCTCTCCAAAATGCATCAACTGTGGTGAGGCTGGACATGGCTGCCTCTCCAAAACCTGCAGTGTTTGGAAAACTGAGAGGGACATATGTGAAATTAAAGTGGACAGAGATGTCTCCTATGTAGCTGTACAGCAATGTAGAGTTGCTTCAGCTTTGGCGTAAGCTTTCTCCTCTTCCGCTCACCATTCACCACCAGAGTCAGCAGCGTCTCGGCTGGCAGTCCAGTCAGTCAGGGTGAGTGTCTTCACTCGCCACAGCGGGCCGGACCCATTACAGGGCAGCAGAGTTATCAGTTACCAAGCCTTGGCCTATAAAGAAAACCAGGAAATAGTAGCAATTGCATATATGTAATGATTCTACTCTATTACGATTGAGCTAGCGAAGCGTATTCCTGTAACGTTTTTAATAGGCTTGTAAGTCAGCAACCGCTGGGCTGATTGACCTGCGTTACTCTTTGTTGCGCGTAATCCTATCCCTTCCATCTCGTTATTGACTACAACTGATGTATCTTGGTGAGTTATTGACTACAACTGATGTATCATGGTGAGCGTCGTGACACGTGCGACGTGAAGGGCCAAGAGTGTTCGTTATTCTGCTGCAGTAGCGATTTTGGGTTGCTCATATATCTTGAACCCTGGACTGCCACGCCGATTGCGCTCAAATTTGGTAGGTACACTGTTTGGGACTGGTTGATAGGGATGTTTTTTTTATAGCGCGCATGTGTTTTTTATAGCCCGGAGAAAAAAATAGGGATTGTTAGGGTTAAGCAGGGAGTCACCGATGTTAGATCCCTCTCTGGGTCCTTTCATAGGAGGTCACGGTCCTGACCCGAGATAGCTGAGCTGTGTCGCAGCCCTGACCTCAGACAGCTGAGCTGTGCACGCCGTCGGCTCGGCCGTCAGTCGCCACAGCCGCTGACGCCAGTGTCCAAACAGCTCCAAACAATATCTGGCCCTGTATAGCAGGATAAGCCATTAGAGGCGGGAGTGATCACCGGGACGGGCTGCATGGTACAGGACGGGCTGGGAACACGTCAACTCCAGCATGACGTGTTCCCAGTGTACCTGCATGTAGTTTCTTTATTCCTCAGCAGTTGTCATCCCCTTGGCGTTAGTGTTTCGCGTCCCTCCATTGATCACTCCCGCCTCTGATGGCTTATCCTGCTATACAGGGCCGGATATTATATTGTTTGGAGCTGTTTGGACACTGGCGTCAGCGGCTGTGGCGACTGACGTCCGAGCCGACGGCGTGCACAGTTCAGCTGTCTGAGGTCTGGGCTGCGACACAGCTCAGCTATCTCGGGTCAGGACCGTGACCTATGAAAGGACCCAGAGAGGGATCTAACATCGGTGACTCCCTGCTTAACCCTAAAAATCCCCACTTTTTTGTCCGCGATATAAAAAACACACGCGGTTAGGCTACCTGTGTCGAATTAATTAAAGTTTATTATGCCAAAGTTTCAAAATATCAATCCGGTCTGCATGTCTGACTGCTCGCAGAACGGTTCTAGAGGCAGTGTCAGTGCGCGCGGAACGGTCCTCAGATGTGTCCACTTTCAAGCGCGGAACGGTCCTACTGCGCCACCAGACTCCTCTCCCTCTCCCCTCCCCCCTGCCCGCTGGTCTATGTCAGACACCAGTACACCACTGACCTCCCCTACCCTCCCCTGACCTCAGGTGCCAGCTGAGACGCTGGTCGGCCTACAGAACCTGCTCGTTCACCTGCGGGACGGCTCGGCAGAGAACGCGCACCTCTACCAGTACCGACTCTGGGACGCTAAGAGGGTCAAGGTGGAGACTGGACGGCGGACTGGACGGCGTACACCGAGGAGTGCGAATCGAAGTTCGCATCTCTCCCCCGGCCCGACCAGCCCACAGATCAGATGGCCAAGCATCTGGCGGACACGCTGATGAACGCCAGCGCCCGCCACATCCCTCGAGGTGCCAGAGCGGACCCTAAACCGTGGGCCCTCGACCCCGAGCTGTCGGCTGCGGTGGCGGAGCGCCGGGAGGCGAGAGCAGCCCTGCGACGTTCCCCCACCGAAGAAAATCGCGAGGTTTGGAAACTCAAGAAGCGGAACGCGGCCGCCGCAGAAGAAACAGCCAGGAAGAAGTCAATCAGGAAGTTCGCATCCGAAGAACTGAACAAGCCAACAAGTCTCGGCCGTGTCACTAAAGTCCTTCGCAAGATGGAGGGCGCAGCACAGACGTTTGCTCCCGGCCAAGCTGTTAACGGGGACCGCGGCCGCGAGGCCGTGGGGGACCGCAGCAAGGCCGAGGCCTTCGTCTCGACATACGCCGCTGTCAGCAAACACGTGAGACGGAAGAAATGGGACAAACTCACCAAGGCCGAGCTGAAAAGACTCAGACGCGCCCCCTGCACATGTCAAAATCAAAGGACTGACGCCTGCCAGCCCTTCTCCGCCGCGGAGCTCGACGCCCAGCTCCGGAAGCTGAAGCCCAAGAAGGCCCCGGGCCCGGACGGAGTGTGCGCGGAGCACCTACAGCACCTGGGCCCCCGAGCCAGGGACGGGTTGCTCCAACTCATCAACAAGAGCTGGGCGCTCGCCGAGATCCCCGCGGACTGGAGGAGGGCGGTTATCATCCCAATACCGAAGGCCGGCAAGGACCCGAAGGAGGTATCAAGCTACCGCCCAATCGCCCTCACCAGCTGTGTGGCAAAGCTGGCCGAGCGGATGGTGGCGGCCCGGCTCACTCATCTCTGCGATCTCCACCGCCTGATCCCCCCGGAGCAGGTGGGATTCCGCCGCGGCCGTGCAGCGGAGGATAACCTGGCCAGGCTGGTCCAGTCAGTCCAGGATGGCTGGAACAAGCCGAAGGCACGAGGGAGACCGGTCGACGGCGTCACCGCTGATAAGTTCGTCTTGGTCGCCTACGACTTCGCGCGCGCATACGACACCATCGACCACAAGATGCTGTACGCCAAGCTGCTGCGCCACCTCCCCTACTGCATGGCGCGGTGGATCTTCAGGCTGCTCAGGGACCGGCGCGCCTGTGTGGAGGTGAACGGGGTGAGAAGCAGGGAGCGCCCCTTCAGAGCGGACCTCCCCCAGGGCTCGGTCCTCGCCCCCACCCTCTACACCATATGGGCTGCCGACCTCATCGCCGACCTTCGCCGTGCCCCCCGAACGGACATATTCATGTACGCCGATGACACTGCCACACTCAGCGCCGGCGCGACAATCCAGGCAGCTCTAGCCGCGGCTCAACACTCGGCGGACCTCCTCGCAAAATGGGCGACACGGAACAAGATGACGATCGCGAGCCAGAAGACCCAGATCATGGTGCTGTCTCAGTGGAGCCGAGACGCCAAGGACGCCACCATCCTGATGTCTGGCACACCTGTCCAAGCGACCCCCACCGTCAAGCTCCTGGGGGTCACGCTCGATAGGCTGCTCCACTTCGGCGACCACTGCGCCAACCTCAAGAGGAAGGCTCGCCCTCGCATCAACCAACTGCGGAAGCTCACCGGCCACTCATGGGGGCTTCGTGAGCACCACCTGCGCGCCGTGGCCAACGGGTACATCCGCGGCGCCATCGAGTATGCGGCGGCTGCGTGGCTTCCTGCGGCGTCCCGCTCCCACCTGGAGCTGGTGGACCGGGAGCTGCGCGCGGCGGCCCGCGCCGTGACTGGCTGCCCGCTATCCACGCCGACCCACGCTCTCATGGCGGAGGCTGGTCTGCCAACCGCAGAGATGCGCAGCGCCACCCT